GAACTTCCGCGCGGATTAATATAACGAACAATTTAGTGCGCATTCAAGGTACACAGGAACGCTGATACAGCATACGTATAAAGCGCGACGATAACACCGCCGGCGGGGCTCGTTATCGCGACTTTAGCGGTGACTTGATCAAATAGAGGGATCGCGCACCCTGCGCAACCCGTTGCTCCCACGCCTGGACTCTTTGTTTACAACGGTCGGGGCGCACCGGACGTTACGGTTTCACCCTGATCCGTTTGCTTTGCGTTCGTTCCTCCTTTTTTTTCAACGCTGTCCCGCGCAGCTTCTCTTGTTACGCGCCACCCACCAACAAACAGGATCGATTTACGGTTGATACGCGGCGCGAGTACTTTGCTGGATGTTGCGGGACACCTGGTGGTACTTACTGTTGGGACTCGGTTAAAGCAGATCTTTAGTTATCGAGGTTTTTGGAGGAATAGTGGTTCTTGCAGGAATGAAGGTGTCATCTAGTGATTTGTGAGTATCTGTGATTATTGTGAATCGAGGTGATCGTTTTGATGATTAAATAACTCTACTTCTAAATATCTTTGAGTATGAATGAAAGAATGCTCCGATCCCCATCCTCCCACGTTGATTTATGGGTAACATCAGCTGTTATCTTCATTCTGCTTGCTCCACTGTTTCCAATTTACCTTACACGACTGCAAAAGGTTGTCTGGGTAGACATTAAATCTCTTGTAATCCTTATAAATGTCAGTGGAGTTACATCAACCACGCAGTGTAATTCATCGACTACTTCAGTCCTTTTGGACACGATGGTTTCTGATGATACTTTACACTCACCTTTTTATGAACATATATACTTCCTCAATGCATGCAGAGTTTTATTTTAACCTCAAGAACTGTTCGATACGTATACGTGCCCATAGATACCTATTCAGTAACAAATCATCAACTTGCTGGCAGCCAACATGTTTGCCAGACTCAGAGTACCTCTCCATAGAACAACCAATTGAAATTCAAGTATGAATGTTATATGTTAAGCTTCGTTCTCAGGAAGAGTACGACTCTCGATGTGACTGAGACACGCCACTGATTTATTACGTGACGTTGATTCATCGATAACACGAGCCATCATTTTTCTCCCTGTTACTCAACTGTTTTTGACCTACTTTGTACAGCCACAATGGTAGGCACTCTCGATACTCTTGGACGAAAAAAAGAACTACCTAAACCCTCCTAGTCGAGTAAAACAAATAGAATTATACCAATCTTGTGGCATCAACAAGACCAACACGGCGTTTTTAGAACCATGGAGAAGAATAAACACTCGTTGTGTCGTTACTTCCAATCTACCCCCTGCATTCCCAAGAGCGACAGGTTGTCCAACAGGTAAAAACCGGAGTTTTCGACTGGAAGAAGCATTAAAACTCCTGTAATCTTTATGAATGCCCAGTTCGGTAACAGCGAGGCATGGTAGCACGGCCAGAAACAGGGTAGCCCCTTTTACGAACGCCGAGCTGAAACTAATGAATGTAGGTCGTACGAGGTTTCATTTTCAAGAAGCAACCGCCTTTCACTACGATTACAACACTACTCTGATTTATTACGCAACGTTCATTCATTGGCAACGGCGAGGCGTTGTCTTCCTTCCACTCGCGTCGCTGTTTTCGACCTACACCTGCGAAAAAGCGACAGGTTCTCCGTCAGGTGAAACTGGATTTTCGAAAAGAGGAGTAATTAAACCTTTCTCATCATTCTGCGTGCAGGTAGAGTTACATCAACCACTTCAGAATCATTAAGAAGGGCTCTTTTATGAAAAGGGAGTTTGGAAATGATAAATAGAGGCGATCAGAGCAATGTATCGTTAGGTGAAATTAATTGAGTCTTCATATACTCGAAGTTGAGTTGCTTATTACACTAACGAACCGCTTATTTCTATAATTACGTTACTGAATAACAAGAGCACGTGAAGTCACAGAAGATATGTTCATTGCTCATTTAATGAATGTAGGTCTCGCGAGGTTTCATCTCCAAGACATATTTAAATATATATATATATATATATATATATATATATATATAAAACACTCTACTAGTTTATTGAGCATCCACAGTATAGAATTAATAAAAAAATTATTTTTCTTCCAGTATAAACTCGAGAATTGTATTCGAGCAAGTAACGAATTTTTAAAATATAAACTTCAGGAATTTTCACGAATTTCACCAAGGTTGCACCAACAGTGCAACATAAACATAGCCAAGATAGCTACTTCGAGACCAGCCAGGTGAAATTGAACAATTAAAGTCACGCGTGACTCGACTCCCAAAAAGCCAACATCTTCGAATAGGATTAAGACACGGTAGAGATGTGCCATGCCTGCTTGATTCATCGGTGACATAAGGTATCATCTTTCTTCCCGCTGTACCGCTATATTCGACCCACTTTATACACCTGCAACGACAGGCCCGCTAAGTAAAAACGTAATTTTCCTCGAGAAGAAACATTAGGTGTCTCGTAATCCTCATAAATGCCACCCCATTTACATCGACCCACGATGTATAATCGAGTAGGTCTCTTTTACGAACGACAAGTTGAAATTGATGAACGGAGACCTCACCGAGGGGCGTTTTTAAGAAAGAAAACATCTTTCGGTATGAATAAAACGCTGCACTGATTTACTGCGCCACGCTGATTGATTGGCGACACGAGCTGATATCGTTGGCGAGGTTTTCACCTGCGGGAAGATGATTTATCGTGTTTCTTATGCCTGCACCGGCATTTTTGATTTCTGCACTTAGGAAAACGACTGTTTAGGTAGGGATCAGGTTCGTTCCCTAGGGTTATCGATGGCGATAGACTTCACCAGAAAGAAAAGACCCAAGAGCAAAATTCCTTACAACTGCTCGAGACTAGAGTTACAACGAAGACTCCAAGTACATACTTGCCTCCATGAAATATAAAAATGTTTCGATACGTCACGCGCAAGAGCCAGGTTTACCCCATTCCTAAATAATAACCATCTAAAATTTGGGTAAATAACCGTCCAAAGTATATACTCGACGAAATCCCCGCGAAAATAAGCCGCGATCGATACAGCAATCAGGCGTTTTTTTTCGGAGACGTCGAGGGTATACTTTTCAAACCTCCCTTCCCGCACACCTCCGGCTAACACGTTCGCAATTTTCAATTCAATGGGCCGGTGCGCGTCGTTCGCCCATTCGCGTGGCCCTATAATTAATCGCATTCATCGCAGTTTTTATGAGACGCGACGTGACCCCGTCGTATTCCGCACAATACACACGAATGGCGACGACTCAACGGCTATATTATCGCAACAATGAAGCAAGCTCACCTTTTATTTCAATAGATAATGAGTTTGATATAGGGGCCTCCGTTCTCTTTCAAAATCCCGCCGGATTTTCTGCCGCGGGAGAACAGAAAGGAAAAGAAACTTATGACCGTTATGAATACCCAGCTGGGAAGATCGTTGGTGGGTCGGCGAGGGCGGAGGTGAGGAGGAGCGGAGGTGTATCGTGGTCGACGTAACCCGTACTCGCATTCATGAGGATTACAAGAGTTTTAATGTTCCTTCCCGACGAAAAATCCGTTCGTAGCTTCTAAATAACCCAGTCACTTCTGGAGGGGTTGCGTGGGGGCCGGGGGCGTGGAAAGTGGGTCGAAAATGGCCGTGGAACAGGGGAAGAAAAATGATACAACGTGTTGGCGATGAATCAACGCGCGGCGATAAATCAGTTTGGCGATGTTTGCTTCTTCTGAAAGCGACGCCTCGTGTTTCCTACTTATTCCTTCGTTAATTTCTGTTTATTGTTCGTGGAAGCGTTGGAAACTTGCGCCTTTGTACATTTCTGGAGGGTTCAATGAATTTTTCAGGGGCTATTCCAAAAGATGATTACAATAGCGATTCAGCGCCAGAGAAAATTTTCATGGCAGTCAATTTTAAGCAAAGATTTTATAATATTCACGCTTAGATTAGTCGTACTCGAACTCGTTAAGACTCTTAATGCTCCTGAAATCTAATAGTCGGTTAAATGGTCGACACGATTGCCGTTCGATAAATTGAATCGACAGGATTTCTTGAGAAACGGCTCTCGATGGCGCCTGCTGTTTCGCGAAACGAGTTGACAGTGGCATTTCTTCGACTGGATTTCGACGGAGAGGGGAGGAGAGCGTATGGTAATGAAACGATTTTCGCGGCCGCCATCGCCGTGAGAAAATCAACTAATTTGACAGGGTGAAACGCGTGGTTCACCGCGCGAGGAAAAAACGCATCTCGAAGTCGAGCGAGCAAACAGCGGGAGAAACGAGAGTAAAAAAAGAAAATATAGAGAAACCGCGAATGGGATAGCGGAGGACGGAGGGAAAGACAGGTGGAGGGGGGATGGAGAAAAAGCAACCGCTGAAGAATCTCGAATGAGAGCGTACAGTCGACTGAGCGTCGCATTCAACGTTCCGAACCGCCTCCGGGGGCTCTTCTCCTTCTTCCTCCACTTCTCTATCTACCCAGATCGGCCTCCGACGTCGCCCTGAAATCAAGACCAGCTACCAGTTTTTCCTTTTCTCTCTGTCGTTTTTTCTTCGATCATTATAACACGACGGGTACCGGTTCCGAGGCTGGTCGAGTCCAATTATTTACAGCGCCCTCATTGTATTAGGCTGTTGCATGTGAAATGTCCGAGAAAAGGGAGGAAACATGTGTATCTTTGTGATAAATTAATACTGATGACACGGTGAGTGTCATGTGAATGACCGACAGAAGATTTCTTGTTCACATGTGCGTAAACGAAAAATTATATATAGGAATGTAAGAAATTTGTCGATAGGTCCTATTTACGTTGGTCCAGTGTTTTTTTACATAATAGAGGGTGAGAAACTTATTCTGCATCTTCATCGTATGTATGACCTACCCAAATGACTGTTCCAACTGGAGAACACTTGCAAACATTCACAGTATCAATTCAAACCCCTACACACTGAATTTTGTTAAAAAATAAAATGACCTGCTCAAATGACTCCTCCAGTTAACGCACCCAACAAGCCTCACTGGAAGAAGGTATATTTCGACTATTTCGAGTCCTCTACGATCACCTTCCTCTTCTCCAAAGCTTCGTTGCTCTGTTTCTTCGCTTCTTTGGCCGAGTTTCTTTTATTTTCCCGATTATCGCAACGTCGCGCTCCCACCCCGACGAAATCCAATTATTCGCCGCTCGACGATTGAAGCGTTCGTTTTTGCTCCGGCTCGAAGTACCCCTTAACTATTACGTGACGTCGAACCGGTCGAGGTAGCGGAAACGCTCGTTTCGCGAAAAACGGGGCGCGAACGAATAATGGATAAGAACTGAATCACGTCGATCCCGTCGATCCAGATCTCTGGACTCTTAATCTTGCGTATCGCGACGTATCGACGACGATTATTTCCCTTCCACTGGCGATTCGTTAGGTGGGACTGTCTAGGATCTTGGTGGACCTTTCTGCAGGAAGCAACTTCAAATACATTTGATAATTGATTTCTCTATAAAAAGTCGATACCTTGTTTCTTATTTTTCATGAAGATTTAATCGCCACTTGATCTGCTTGTGACGCTTCAGCTTCGAGATTTTGTCGAAGATGGAAGGCACTCACTTTTTGCTTCCTTTTATCTTTCTTCTTCTTTCTCTAATTGTTATCACTAGTTTCCCTTAGTTCGAGGGTTTCAACAATTTTTTTTTATACACAATTCCATAAAATAATATAAATTTTCCATAAATGTCTTCGTTATTTTAGCTTGTGCGCGATACCTTGCTCCTGGATTCCTCCAAGATTCGTCTGAATTTCTCCAATAAGCTTCTGGATTCCAACAAACCCAATTAAAATTGCGTCTGCTTTATTATTCGAGACCATAGGCAAACAGGAGTACCCTGTCGCGCCTTCTGATTTTTAAGGGCGATATTTTACGACCATGGAGTTTTTCGACGTTCCCCCACCTCGTAAACTCGACTTTATAAAAACACGATCTCCGAGCACTCGGTCCTGTGGCGTTAAGTACGACGGTCTCGATCCCGCTTTAATCCGTTCATTTCACGCCTCCTCGTCCGCAACGTCTTTCTCGCTGTTCTCTGGAACCGAGTCGAACCGGATTGGTCGTCGGTAACGCAACAGTAAATTCGAGAAGCCAACAGGTGTGGCGATTCGAATTTTTTAAATTGGATCCTCCGTTTATAGTCGGCGTTATAAAGACACTTTATTAATCGAGGATTCCTATCTTCGGTTGGGTGCTTCCAGAGATTCTTGTGTGACAGATGAATGACCAAGGGGTGCGTTTAAGGACGATACGTTTAATTAGTGGAACTTCAGATGTGCACTATCATATTTTATTCCTGTAGAGTGATAATATTTTAAACACTACGCGATGGTGGGGTGCATAAAGTTCGCGTTCAGGGAGAAGTGGAGGGATTTACCAATTCGAATCTTGACAATCATGTGTTATTTTTACGATTATTTATACGATACAATTTGATTGACAGCAACTCCAAGTGGCCTGGGTCAACGGAGTTCACATTCAAACAGAAGTCAGCATAAAGACCAGTTTCACTTGGACGCCTAGAAGTCTTAACTGCACGGTAAAAGACAAAAGAGACAAAGGCGCAGAGCAGACAATGAGACACAAGAGAACCATTCAAGTGGACACGTCAAATTGCTACTTTACCACAAACTCGGATACCTTCGAGCAAAAGTATCGCCACATTGGGACCCAGCTTTGTACTGAACAGTGACGTCAATATTCCTCTCCCCTCCAGGACTGATTCTTGGCACGCGACTCTGTCAGTGTTTCCCAACCTGTCTCACACCAAGATCCAGAAATAATTTAATTCTCAGAATATTTAACCCTTTGCGGTCCAGATTTTCCGCTCTCGGTACATTTCTGTCAAGCCTCGCTCGCCACAGGACCGCAAGGAATTAAACCTACGCGGAGTCTTCTACCCTAGAAGATTCGTTGAAACTACAACAATGACACCAAGATCCTAAGAGTCCTTCGTCAACGTTACGATGAGCATTTCCTTCGTTCATCTCATTTCTCTTCTCTTGCCTTTATCGATCATTCCCTTCTTTTTCATCCCCCTCCTTCGTCCTTCGATCAATAGAGGATCGAAGGGTTTCGCATTAGACGCCGAAGTAACCTCGTTCTCCGTGTTTTACGACGAATTAAAACGACGTTTAAATCCTTTGAAATCGTCAGTCAGCGGAGCTTCTCCCTTAATCCTGCCTTTTTTCATTCGCAATCTTTCTTCTATTGCCGTGCTGCTTCTCTACCGCGGGATACAAAAATCAATGCCTGAACTTCAATCTGTGATATTGCTTCCAAGGAAGACTTTACCGGTCCGACGTTCGCGATTACTCTACCCGAATTTACTCCGTCATCTATGTACAGGATGTCACAGAATGGGTGGTTCGAGTCAAAGTTGAAATGAATTTAACGAGGAACGTCAATGACGCGAACCTCTTAAATTTTCTCCGTTCCAGTTGTCATGTTTCATCACATATTTCGAAACACTCTCTACAAGATCATCCGTAACGGCGACTAATTCGTCTTTCAATAGAAAATACAGCCGACGAAGAGCGCGACGCGGTCAAAGAACCGAAATTGCTCTTTTTCAGAAGAAATCCCTTCGCTCTTTCCTCGCAATCAGGCGCGGCTACTAGACGCAGTGATTGCAGAGATAATCCAATTATTTCCCGCTCGGTTCCGCAGGTCCGTTTTGTTCGACTTTAAGATCCAGGAGTTCGTTTTCACTCGTCTTGTTGCTCGTGGCATGGCGGAGTTAGATGGCTACAGCAATCGAACACCATTGTAGATCATCGAAGACCATCGCGGACCATTGTAAAACCACTAATCACCAATTGCAACCCTTTTACCACACTCCATCATCATTTCATCCTCATCTCCAATCCAGTTACTACATCTATTTTGTACCCACTTGCTAATCACCTATTAAATCTTCTTTCCTCTATTTAATCCTCGTAGAGATATCGACCCTATCGCGTGATACACCGCGCCAGCAGCGCTCAGAAACGAGAAGAGGATGTTCCACTACCATGTCATCGCTAATCAAAGCCCTGTTTCGCTCGTCCTCTTATTCTGATCGTAATCGGAGAGCAGGTCGTCGTCCATGTTTTCGATGCGACGGTACGCTTCCACGCGACTCTACTTTTTTCCCACACCTGTGTGTCGTCGGTCTCATTCGTGAGACAATTTTACAGCTTGCGGATGTCTCGTCGGCTGCAAAGACGGGGCCCGACGAGGACATCAGCGATAAACGAGCGAAACAAAAATCGAGTCCGGCCAGCTTACAAGACACTGTTACTGATCCCGCTCGGCTTAAAGTCTCGTCACGGTGAAATCCGCTTATTCCCTTGCTTCCTCCTTCGAGATCGCACTTGAAAAACCCAGGTCAGGATTCGCTGGATCGCGTGGGATATTCGTTACACGCGGAACAAAGTGAAACTTTGTAACGTGGCACGATTCTATAACTCGGCGGATGGGGGTGGTTTAAATTTTTTTTGAGGTTCATTGACTGACGTTGAATTGATATCTTTAAATAGTAGATGCATTTTTTTATCACAGATTACAAACTTGTCCAATCACTCGTTACGAATTTATATTAGGATAATGAAATGGGGTGCAAATAAATGTATCAATTTCACAAGCTTCTAAGAAACACATCAAAAAGTACGAACACTACTGAAATAAGCAGGAAACACCGTACCTGTGTTGCTTCTCAAGAAGGTAAGTCACGAACGACGAGATTACGATCTAACTAGCTATTCAAACTCCTCCAAATTATACAGATGGGGACACGATAATCCATCTCGAACGTTGATGACGGAAGAAAGTGCGCTGTTATAATAGCTAGTTAGACCGTGATGTCAACGCTGTCAACAACTTTCAGTTAGTTTCTGACAAGCAGCGCAAATAGATAGATGGGTTCCAGTTGTATCGCGATGCGCCGTGGAAAGAAAATTATACCGCAACAACGTCGCTCACGTGAAATTGCTTCGCAACAGCGCGAAATCGTATCGGGATATTTTTAAGGATCTTGAAATATCCGCGATGGCTTCTTGTCAAGCTATGCAAAACATTAAACGACGCAGGAACATCGAAGAACGATTGTGGAAAAATGAAAATCGGGTCTTGAAAGGTCTGGAACTGATTGTAAGATATTTTACATCGGTTATCTCGATTTACGCTCTATAATTTGCAAACCTACCCATTTGCGAACCCCCACCGATTCCGTAATAGTAATTACTTTATTTCAGTAACATTAGGAAATAAGTAAGTATTCTTTCCATTATTCGTGTGACATCTTCGAACAGAATCTGAAGCTGTAAACTTAGTATCTGTAAATTTACTCTAGGAGCCAAATTTTCAAGTCGTCCCATTTCCCACCCCTCCCCTTCGATCCTTCGCGATCGTTATAACACTACACTCGGCGTGTCCTCCTCGCCAGGATCCAATTATTTCGCTCCCTCCCATGGCGCTAGCCTGTCGGTGGCCTTTTTTAAGGCTCGTCCAGAAACGAAGGAACAGAACGATCGAGGATCTCTCGACGACGACAAACGACTCCGTGTCCAGAGCAAACTCGATTACTCTTCGCCTGGTTACTTACTCGAGGTATCCGTCTTGGGCGGCGAGGGACTCATTACTGGCGAGTTTCGAGGAGCAGGCAGAGGTCGTGTCCTCTTCATGAGTCCAGACGTTTTCTCGCAAATCTTGAAAGCTTCATGAGTTTTTGGTTTAAACAAGTGACGAAACGATACGCAATAGACAACACATATTTTTCTTAAATGGCAATTGTGTTTGTTTACTAAAAATTTGATTGAGCCCCACTAGTCAAGTATGATGTTTTTGTGGGGAAATCCTGGAGTTGTTGGAATACTTTTTTTCCTGCTCTCACTTGTGACATCATTTTTAACGAGAAAACTCATCATGAATTCTACCACTGACTATGAGAGCTACCGAAATCGGTGACCTTTGACACGTTGATAACGATAAATTCTATCACTTTGCACGTTCAAAGACCCGATGACTAATCTCTAGTTACTTCTTGACCAATGTCTGAGACTTTCTCATTCGATTCCCTGATATCTAAATGAGCTGATAACGTTTTGAATGCTAAAAATGATCCGTGGTTTTGGATGCTTGCTGTTGATAGTTCATATGATATTTGAGATTATCGTTTCAGAAAGTGTTTGCATTGTGGATAAAGAAAGAAACGGTATAGAAATATGAATACTTTTTCCTTGAATTTTAACCTAGGTTTGCAACATTTTTCTTTTCAACTAATCTGGTGAAACATAACATTTTACCAGGCTATTATGCAACTGTCGCAATTACGTAAATTCACCTAGAACGAAGACGATTTCGAACCGGAAATTTAAAGTTCCTATGACCGACAGAATCTGGCAATATTTCGATAAAACGTGAAAAACGTTATTCAATTCATGAATAATAATAAAAAAAAAAATACATGAAAGTAACATGTTACATGAATTGAAGGATTCTACGTTTCAAAATAAATTGAATTGACGCGATAAATATTTTCGGGAAGCTCGGGAGCTCCAATTTCGAGATAAACAATTTTGAAATTCTCGCAGACGTATGGTTACGCGAGCCAAATTTGGTGTGACGGATTTCGCAATGCTGATACGATATCTTTTACGTATTATAGGGAAACAGAAGAGGCGAAAATATGAAAAACCGTACGTCATGAAATTATCGACTGTAAAATGTTATGAACGCATTTATCACGTGTCACAACAAAATCAGACATGTGGCGATGGCTTTTGAAACAAAGGAATCATCTTTTACGTGTCTGGACCGTGCTTTGTATCGCGAATGCGATTCGCGATTGTCATGTTTTTTGCTTGTTATATAGCGCGATTCTACACAACAAAATATTATGAATGTGTCAGGCGTGTTTCACCAAATCTGAATTATGAATCTTTTCAAATAATATTTTTTTATTTCGCGTAGAGGAGAACAACTACTAAATGATGCAAAAGAAAATAATGTTCAAGATATTGCGCACGATACCGAATAAAAATAATGTGAAAAATATTGGAGATATCTCGTTCTTTGCGAGAGAGTGCAGGTGCGATCCATCTTTCCCGCTACGTCGTAAAAAAGACGTCGATACGCTTTGGGGAAAAAAACAAGTAACGTGGCGATAAAACTGGTACATGTAAACAACCGAGGTATAAAAGTCGCGTGTTAATCGAGACGCTTATAATTCCCAGCGTTAATTCTAATCGAGTAACGTTGGGCTTCGACACCGCAGCCATTGGAAAGTGATTTCAGTTTTTAAGACACGCGCGTTATTTCATTTTTGAACGGAGTTAAAACCTTAACAGTTACAAGAGAAGTCGAATCGAGGATGATAAAGACTTCTGCCTTGCTCGTTTCCCTGCTCGTTTGCAGTGTCAACGGTAAATATTATCAATTTGTTTATTCGTGAATGGGATAAGTAGAAGAGAGTGCAGAAAGTATTAGTATGTAACGTAATAAAGTATGTAAAGTGATTAGAGAATTAATTTAATTTAGTAAAAATAAAAATCTTTATAAATAGATTACATCATTCTAAATTAATAATTTAAATATTGTTATGCTGATTAATGCATGGGGGAATTAATTCAATTCAGTAAAATTAAATATATTTTTAATGAATAATCTTGTACGTACTATTTTATTGCGTATATTGTTTTATGAAAGGTGTTTTTATGTAAATGTAAATGTGTGAAAACAGGGGGTCAAGGACCCTCGCTGATTAAGGATCTCAAAGAGGATGTGGACATCGCCAAGCACACGGTAGCCGCTGTTACAAATATCACCCTGGGATTGAACATCTGGGACGACAACGAAAATCTCGTCACCATGGACTTGGAGTTAGATGACCCCGAATCAGTGGAACGAACAAAGGAAGACTTGGAAAACCGAGTGTTCTTCTACCTGTACACCAGGGAAAACCCAAAGGACTTTGAACAATTGAAAGTCGACGACATCGACATGTTGAAGAGGAGCAAGTTTGACGCGAGCAAACCAACGAAATTCATCACCCACGGATGGATCAACTCTTACATGAGCAAAGCTTGCGTCGCCATTCGTGATGGTAAGTGCCTCTGCATGATTCAGGAGCTAAGTCCTCACTTTTACAAATTCATACATTGGATTCGTGACCTTATTAATGTTAATTATCAAAGCTTCAATAGACTCGAGACGAAATTTTAACTTCGTAGAAATTTTTTACGAGCCTTCACGAGTCTGACAGTTGACGTGTTAAAAGAGGATATTCCTCAGCTATTAAAAATTGCATCCATAAATAAATAGAGTTATGCCACTACCTGGTCTCTAAAAATTAAAGAGTTCTATATTTTATGCGCCTTCTGTTTCTAGCTTTCCTCCAACACGGGGACTACAATGTCATCGTTGTTGACTGGTCAAGAATATCCAGCAAGCCATATCTTTGGGCAACCAGAAGAGTCGTAATGATCGGACAATTAGTCGCCCGCATGATCGATTTCCTCGTGTCGCAAGGACTGGAGCCATCCAAGGTGACCGCCGTCGGCCACTCTCTTGGAGCCCACGTCGCTGGATTGTCAGGCTACTACTCGGAGAACAAGATAGAATACATTGTTGGTAAGTTAATCTTGAAAGACATGGTAGCTAATTTGTTCTCTGCTAAAGATCCCAAAGGATCATTTAGAAACAATTCGCAGCTCTCGCAACGAATATTAAGTACTTCTCAGAAATGTTCCATTCCTCGGTACTTTTAAAAGCAACATCTTCTTGCAGGCTTGGACCCAGCTCTCCCTCTCTTCCTTTTCAGCGGCGCTGGCGCCAGGATCACCAGCGACGACGCCAGATACGTGGAGATCATCCACACGAACGGCGGCGAGCTCGGTTTCGTCGCCGCAATAGGTGACTCCGACTTCTACCCTAACGGTGGTAGCATTCAAACAGGTTGCCCGTTAGGTGTCGTTGGCGCGTGCTCTCACTTACACGCGGTTGAGTACTTCGCCGAGTCCATCAACAGTAAGACTGGTTTCTGGGCTGTGAGCTGCACCAACTTCAAAGACTTCGTGCTGGGTAAATGCAACTCCCAGCCTAAAGCTCTCATGGGTGGAGTCGAACCGAAATTCGACGTCATGGGCATCTACTACCTGCGTACGCACAAGACAGGCCCATTCGCTATGGGATTATAAGTCCTTTTATCGGGACCTTACGTCCTTCCCTAATTTCAGAGTGTTTACTGCAGTAAGAAAGATTCTGTTACGTGTGATACCATGTATCTAAGGACACAGAAACTCTAACGGAGTTTCAGCTGATGATGATACCCTAAATTTGTTTTTTAATTGGCAGGGTGTAAATAGTTGATAGTAATTACTAGTTGGGCACAGTCAGTTCGACATACGAATGAATTATTCCTTTGCGGTACGTTTGTGTTTTTGTACAAACTTGCGTATGCTACATTTCTGTTACTCTTGATAGGAGAGAATTTATTGTAAATTTTGTAAAATATCGAATTGTCTTATCAGGATAGACTCGCGACGAATATACTGTACATTGTGAAGCATTAAGCAATTGGTTGACAAATGTGTGTATTTTTCCTATTCCCTTTCCTTGCGAATAAAGCTGAACGAAAAACAAACTAATTACTACAGTAATTATAAAAAATGCATGTTAGGAACTCCGAAGTGGCATAAGTCGGTCCAGTCACTCAAACAGAATACTTCGCCACGATTTGATCGAACACGATCGAACGATAAATATAACCCACATTCAGAAGCGTTTCGCTTCCCCTGGATGGGAAACTTCTCGTGACTGCAACTTCGCCAACTATAATGAATACTTCGTGGAAGTTCTTGGCAGCCTAGGACTCCCCTAGTCGGAGACACGGTTAGACAAGGAATACGAGAACGCAACAGCGATCACGAAAGGGCCAAAAGGTAAGGCGCAGGCTGGAATTTGGACGTCAGACTAGGAATCGTCGAACGTCGGATGGACGCTTTACTTTCCGTGTTTGCCATTCGAACAAAAAGCAGCTCGAGACATTTAACTGGGGCTGAACGTAACTCTGAGGATTATTGGCGGGGCCGAGACTTGTCCAACTATTTGTATTCGAGTAGCGTGACATTCAAGTATTATTTGAATAAAATTGCTCTGCCAACTGTAGAGGTTTTCAATTACATTTAGATGTGTCACTGAAGCGAGAAGTATACAATTTTTATATTTTTGTGATTTATATAGACAATGATGATCTTTTGAAGCGTTGTAACGTTAATCTTCTGTAACGTTGAAAACCCGTTACAACAACGACCGAAAGAATAGACTCAGCCTGGAATTCGCGCAGGGTGCGAAACGTCGGATGAACGCTTCATTTTCTGTGTTTGGTAGTCGAACAAAAAGCGTCGGAGGGAATTCGGGCGAGGTTGCACGGGGTATTCTGCGCGGCTACCTCCGATAAATTCGTCGCGATGCTCGCGAGCGGAAGAGAAAGAGCCAGGGGCCGATAACGCCGATATAAGAGGGAAAGGGACGCACGGACGAGTGAGGGAAGAAAGGGGACAAAGAGGGACAACGGCGAACGTGGACGGCGGACGTAGGTCGACGGCCATTAATTGGAGTGTCTCCCCTCCGCCTACGATGTGATTATTTTCATGACGTTTCGATTCAAATCAAACGCATTGTTAAACCGTGCCTCATTGTGCTCCCAGCTCCAATTTGCAGCTATATTTTACTCGAACGGCTGCCAGCCGACGCCTCTGCCGATATGCACCACGCGTGACTCCAAACAATTCCATGACATCTAGGAAATGGCCTCCGGGGGCAGTCCCTGAGCCAGCTCTTTTCCCTCGCGTCTTCTCAACGGTATCGTAGCCGAAACTGGGTCACCTATTGCTGACACCACGTGGGTAGGTCTAGGCCAGGTAGACGAGAACGTTGCACCGGGGAGGTTTCGTGGGGATGCTTCCTGGGGACTTGGGTATGCCTGGGAGAAATTGCTGTGGAAATACGAGTGAGGTCGTTAAGTTGAATATGCACTGATTACTCGAGGTAGCTTAAGTGATTTGTTAGGGGTTGTTTTGGCATTGGTAGGTTTATTATGTGACCATGAACATAGGGCCATTTTTGAGATCGTCAGTGGCGTGTTGTGGTTCTTAAAGGTTCTTTCAGCCGCATGAATGAAGAGGATTGCGGCGTTTGTTGACGTTTCAATTCATCTTCCGTGTCTGTCGCGCTACGAGTAAACAAAACCAGAATCGGACGAGATTTATAGCCATAACCGGTTAACAAGGCTAACCGTTGCTCCTAAGTCGGAAGACGCGGGCGCAACGCACCGCTTTGCGCCGTTAACAAGCAAAAACGTTCCAGCGACAAACGGATCCTGGCCAGGTTGCCTTTCATCACCCAGCAACAATTTCAAGGCGAAACGTTAATTAAACGCGGCCCCCCGTCGCGATGTCATCCCTCTCGCGCGTCACTCCTGGTTGCGTCACTGTCCTCTGTTCCAATCAGAATTAATACTTTAAGAAAAAAAAATCGTCAATAGCCTTGCTGTGTTATACGACTTGGTACCCTTATAAATAAAAGTCAGCGTAGCCAAGGGTCCGTCAGAGTTTTAATCCAGCCCTGATCCACGCACCTGCGTTTATTCATGCCGCCAAGCCGTGATCCATCCGCCTGTTCGATTTCCATCGACATCGGAGCTATTCGTCCGGCGTTCTATCTATCTTCTCCGCACGGGAACACGTTTGGAAAAACGTAGCCCAGAAATTCTAACCGTCGGCGTCGGCTGCTCGGCTACCCAGCACGAAACTTTCGCATCGATCAACAAACGCGAACTTCTTCCCCGTCGAGTTTTCTTCCGTCGCGTAACAGTAACTTACAGACCGTTTGGTAACCGTGCCCGGACTGCCACCGGCTCGCCCGTGAAACGACAATTAATTGGCGGAGATGTCCGTACGTTCCGCGCGATAGAACGCCCCGAGATTCGAGTTTGATGAAACGAGCCGCGCCACGGCGATGTTGGTATCTGGGACAGTGGACTGACAACGGAACACCACGAACTGTCAGACGACGATTTCGACGAAACTTCTCCTGAACAGTCGTCGGTCCTCTTCCGTACCTTGGGCTGGTTTCGATCGTGACTGTTGGGAGTGTTATATTGCAAAAGGTATCGAGGAAGTGGGGCGATATTAATGGAGGTTTGTGATTGATGAAAGAAAGTGTGAGTACAGGACTTACAAGGGTGAGTGCAGAGTAATTCTTTTTACTGGAGACATTTTTGAACATTTTTGATTATTTTGTTAGAAATATTAGAATACTTGAATATGGAATAGAGTACGATTTAAACTAGAATGTAGAGTGCAAGACTATTATTTTCTAATAAGAATAACTCATTTCAGACTCTAGATTTTGCTCATCTGTTCATGTGATAACACTCTCCTTAAACCTGAGACGGTTCAACAACAATGACGACGGTGAAACGTGGATGTGCGAAGTGTTTTGCATGGCGAGGAATCAGGCTTGTTATTGCAGAGGAATTCCATTGCTTTCGCAAGGATGGAAAGGTAATATACATCGTTATACTTGGTATCATTTTTTTCTCGTCCTCATTAGTTATGACTTCATAAATAAGAATGTTGAAGTCGTCCATATTTTTTCGGGACACTCCAATAATACTCTCGAGAAATGAAAATACACATTTATAGATAGACTTCAACGTGCTAGATCATATTTATCCTTTTTATATTCATTTCATGAGAAATACGGCGACGACGCTAATGGCGAAAATTTCAGGAGATCATACGTAATTTAACGCTCCGTCTCCGTCGCCGCGACGCCCTACTTCATTTCGCCATGTTTAATATGACTGAAATTGCATTTAACTTAAGAATAGGCTTGCTGCCGCTTCGAAATATCGTCAGACACCGAGCCTTTAATCCTTTTAATCTTCGAAGTCCTAATCTCCTTAGAAGCGTCAAACTCCCAGGGCGCGTTAATATATGCATCTAACCTGATTATTTGGATTCTCTGTGCCGTCGTTCTCCATTTGTAGAATTGTCAAAATGTGACCATTTTTATTCACCAATTATTTTTCCCATGATAATTAAATATCTATTATCTCCTAGTTCCTCGCAATGAGAATACGTATACATAATCCAGAATTTTTTCCGTATAGCACGAGTGCCAAAAATGGTCATTTTTTGATCATTTACCTTTCTTCTTGTCCACGATTTCCCTACCCTTCGTCGAATCGAACGACAACGACGTTCAATTAAGGCTGCGAATAAACTCGTCGTCGCCCATCGTTGGTCCATTTTTTAAACAAAAAAATGTACATGTATACACGACACCGCGGGCATATTTCTGTTGAGAAGAACACATTACAAATGCAAAGTGCCATTTGGACGCAACAGCGTCGATCGTGTGGCACCGCACTGCAGAAAGCCAAATTGGCTTACTTAGGGATTCACTGAAAATGTATACACGCGGCTCTTTGCGCGTTGCGCCGCAACTCGTTCGTAACTTTTACACCCTTTCCCTCCCTCAACCTCCGGCGCCTTGTTGCAGCGGAATTCGCGTACCGTGGAACGCCACGGCCGTGCCAATTTTTCATTAATATTCTTCGTAATTCCTCTTAAGAGGACATTCGATTCGTTTGGACAGAAAGTAGACAACAATTGTGATTTTTTGTTTAGGGATCTACGAAATAATTTCATCTAGAATTTCGCTTAATTATTACGTATAAATAAATGGTGTACTAATTTTTTTTACCAAAAGTTTCTTCCTTATTCTCCACCTTTTATTTGGACAGAAATTTTGCCCATCTCTGCCTTTCAAGCACTTTGTTGCGACCTTTGCGTTCAAGTGACGCCAAGAACTGTGCCAATTTTTCATTAATATTCCTCGTAATTCCTTTTAATCGCATTAGTCTCGAACTACCAAGCCACTTGGGGTAAAAAGACCCGCGAAATCTGACAGAAGTTCGTTAAGTACAACACGCTTCCGCCCCATTTTCACATCTAATTAGGCAATCTTAGAAATCACCGTGAGATTCGCGGTTCGCTGGACGGTGTCTCAAGGGATGATTTAAACATTCATTATTACAGAAAAGGAACTGAAAATTACTAATATATTTGAAGAATATTGACAATATTTACAGGTTAACAATATTTAAGTTTTAATATTTGCATTTTGT